AAAAATAAAGTAATATATTTTTCATAATATATATTTTTAATATTTTTCAATAATATATTTTTAATAATATATTGTTAAAAGTAATATATTTTTAATATATAAAAATAAAATAATATATTTTTAAATTATATATAAATGATTTTTTTAGTTTTATTTTTATATAAATATTTAATATATCTAATTAAAAAATAAATAAAAGTATGTTTTTAATTTTTTTATTTGAACTTTTTTTAAAAATAATTTTATTTAATATATTTTAATCATGATTTATAATATATACTACATATTTATTTTTTATTATTATTTGTTAATTTTATTTTTTAAAAAATTGGTTCCTACGCACATGAGAATGAGAAAAACCTTCCATTTACTATGGAATGGCTAATCCCATAGAGATGGGTTTTTCCATTCCTATTGGAATTGTCATTCATTCTTAAAAAATATACTTCATCCTAGCTTAATTGATCATTTGTTAAATAAATTTCGTTTTGGCTATTTTGTACATATTTTTCCATTATTACCCTCATCTAACTAATACATACATTACGTCTTTTCATATTCACTTTCCATCTTTTATCAAAACATCAATCTCTATCCTCATTAATGAAGGTTATTATTGGAAAACAAATATTCTTAATTATTGTGCAACTTCTCAAAACGACATTTACTAAAAATAGGAGGGAGTACCAATCATGGGATTAGGAATTAGCAAGGGAATGATTATTTCATTCCCTTGTCATTCCTTCCTACCAATCATGCCATAAGGAGTCAAGATTAGACACAGATGATGACAAATTAGAGTAAAACTCAGCAACCATTCTAGAACAAAACTTTTCAACAGAAAGAATTGATTTTTCAAGACTAACCTTTTTCAAGAGATCAAAAAGACCAAGTTTTTCAATATGGGAACTGACAATAGTTCGTTTAGAGCAAAACTTCATTTGCGAAAAGATATCAGTGTAACGAGATTAAGAGAGAAGGGAATAGAACTGGCGAGAAAATGCGTTACCAACAACCAGAGGACTACCGTCATCGTCACCCTCATCACCATTTTCTGAGTGGTTGCACCGCCGGTGACGGGGGATTCTCACCAGCATCAGCATGTTCAGTCGAGTTCTCTTTCTCAGATCCATCACCACTAACAAATTCATCAATTTCATTTTCAGCAGAATCCACATGATCCTCTTAGTCAGGCGTTGATTCTCCATCGGACTTGAGTGAAGAACCAGAAACCACAGCAGGTTCAATGACGATATCGGACTTTTTAGACTTCTTTGCTTTCTCTCCTTTAGGTTGGTTGGTTTTTCATTTCTTACACTTCTTAATTTAGTTCTTATTTTGATTATAGATTTAATAAAAGGGTAAAAAAATAAGTCATTTTATTTATTGTATTTTATATATTTTTATTTCATTTAAGTATATGGAAATCAATTTTATATATATTTATTTTATCATAAATTAAAGTTTTATTATGTTAACTTATTAATATTTACATTATTTTTAAATTGAACTTAATTTATACTATGTAATGTGTGTAAATCTATATCTATATAAAAAGGTTTGATTTTTTAAGTAGTAATCATTTCCCACCAAAAAAAATTATTTACTATTTCGGAAAATTAATTTAACAATTTACGGTATATTTCTAATGATCACATATGGTAATTGCGGCTCATTATTTAAGGAAGCAATTAAATCATATTTAAAGATACCTTAATTACTCAAATCATGTGAATTAATTAATATATGATATATAGTGGACGAATTTAATTTTGGTATTAATGGTTGTTTCTATAGGAAATAAATTAATTAATATATGGTATAAAGTGAGCAAATTTATTTAGGTTATTTGATAACTGTGTTATTATTATTATTATTATTATTTTTGTAGGAAATTTGTTGAAAAAATTTAATCAATATATGGTGTACTTTTTTCTGTAATGCGCAGGCTAATATATTGGTTTTTAGGCGTGGGTTTCAATTTTTATTTCAATTTTCCGCNGCATAAAAAACTTATGACTGATTGCTTTTACTCAACTACTTAAATTTTTTGATTTAGATATTTTATACAAAAATAAATTCATTTTAATTAATTAAACAATATAATTTTTATATTTATACTTATTATTTACATAGGTTTTTAAATATAAGATAGAATTTTACCAAAATAACTATTTTATGAAATCACGTTATAGTCAAATCGAATTCTGAATAAAAATTTTGAAATGACACATATTTTGAAATGATATAATGTCATTTATTATCAATTATGTGCACCGCAAGGGATGTGTACTAATTTTAAGTAGACATTTTTATGTAATTTTGCACGATTTAAATTTATATAATATTTTTAATAAATTATATAGGTACATTGTATTACATATTGATTCCATGTTTATAATTTATAAATATTATTTAATGAGAATTTTTAATTTATAAATATTAATTAATATCTCTTACCCGTGAACCGCACGAGACACGTACTAGTTTATATATATAAGGTAAGAAATTTGATAGAAAAAGTGAGTAGTGTTGTGGTTTCAATGTTAATTAACATGCTTGGTGTCTCAGTTTCAATTTTTGCAGGCAGTGATTTTTTTTAGCCAAAGTTTGAGGGTATAACATGTATTTTGCGCATTTATGAGGTTCGATTTTTGTATGCAGATTGTGTGCAGTGATTTTTCTTTAGCTAAATTTTGAGGGTATAACAGATATTTTGTGCATTTCTGATGGTATATGGGAATTATTTTTAAAAAAATTAACGCCATTAAGAACAAAATTATTAAAAGAGAGTGTGCATCGATCGCTTAAATGTAAAAAAAATTCACCGATTTTTTAAAATACGAAGACAAATCGCGCAAATTAAGTTAAACACAGGAGCATTCCGTAAAATAATACATATAAAAATGTTATTGTAATTTTTTTAAATTGTTTGTTTTAAATTATTATTATATTTTTTCAGCTCATTATGAATTTTTATTCAAAATAGTTAATTGTTTTTCATTTAATTAGTAGGTCATGATTAATGAAAATTTAAGAAAAAGTATATTATTGTAATCAATATAGTAATTTATACCTAAGCTATATAAATTTATATTTATATTGTTCATTTTTATAAATAATAAAATTTATAAAATGCCATATATTCATCATTTAATTTATAACATAAAATTTTATTTACATTTTCGCTGTAAAACTAGTTTTCACATAGATTCAAATGTACATTTATTGTTTCAACAACTATTAAAGATACTTGTCCCGTATTATGATTTGATAAAATCGATTCCATCCAACCTTCACAATTTCCCGGAGAATCGAATCACTCATCAAAACACCCGCGTAAAAATTCAAGTACCAAAAAAATAAAAATAAAAAATAAAAAAAATGGAGAAATCGGGCTATGGCCGAGACGGCGTGTACAGATCCCTGGCGCCGCCAATTTTCGCCCCCACAGACCCAAACCTCTCTATGATCTCTTTTCTCTTCAGAAACGCTTCCTCTTTTCCCGACAAGCGCGCCCTCATCGATTCACACACCGGCGAGACCTTAACTTTCGCCCACCTCAAATCCACCGTCTCCAGAGTCGCCCACAGCCTCCTCCATCTGGGCATCACCAAAAACGACGTCGTTCTCATCTTCGCTCCCAACTCTATTCAATTCCCCCTCAGCTTCTTCGCAATCGCCGCCCTCGGCGCTATTACCACCACAGCGAACCCAACCTACACAACCTCCGAATTATCCAAACAGGTAATCGATTCCACTGCCAAGCTTATAATCACCGTTGAGGATTTGCTACCAAAGGTCAAGGATTTTGGCCTGCCAGTCGTTCTACTAAATTCCCATGTCAAACCAATTTCACCCAATATTGGGAAAAATAAAATCCCGTCCATCACCGACCTACTCAATAACGGAGGAGGGTCTCTCGATTTGGACAATAATTTTAATAATATAAAGCAAGATGATACTGCTGCTCTGTTGTATTCGTCTGGAACAACTGGCACCAGCAAAGGCGTAATACTCACTCACCGCAATTTCATTTCCAGCGCCTTAATGGTGACCACATATCAGGAATTCGCGGGCGAATCGGATAATGTTTTCCTGTGTTTTCTGCCGATGTTCCATGTGTTTGGTCTGGCAGCGATCCTCTACGCGCAGCTTCAGCGGGGCAACGCTGTGGTCTCGATGTCGAGGTTTGATCTGGAGCTGATTCTGAAGATGGTGGAGAAGTATGGAGTGACACACTTGTGGGTTGTGCCGCCTATTGTATTGGGCCTGGCCAAAAGCCCAATTGTTAAAAAGTATGATCTGTCAAGTTTGAAGCAGATTGGGTCTGGGGCGGCCCCACTTGGGAGGGAGTTGATGCAGGAGTGTGCAAAGAATTTTCCCCGGGCTGTCGTTGTGCAGGTTGGTTAATTTGTTTAATTATCATTATCTTTAATTACATTTAAGTTGTGTGGATGACATGAATTTTGAGTTCTTAGTGTTTGTATACATGAATTTCTGCTCAAAATGAATTTTTTTGGTTGGCTAGAGTTAATTTTGGAAAAAGTGGCATGGTTAATTGGTAGTGGGATTTTGATTTTATATTAAAATAATATTTAAAATAAAATAATTAAAGTTGATTTGATGTAAAAGTATGAGACAGATGATATGAAGTGATGGTTAATTAAAATCATGTGAGTTGATGAATAGTAAATTAAAATTGATGTGATGTGTAAAGAATGATTGATTGATATTATTTAATTATAGTGATTATATTGAATATAGTGGGGCTGAGTTAAAGTTAAGTTAGATTTTGAGTATGAATTGAGATATTTTATATACAAACACGTTAGTTTCATTATTCTAATCACTTCTTGTTGGTCTCTACTATTTTAATTCAAAAGTGATCCTCATGCTATGGTGTATATGGTGTATATGATGTATATTTCATATACAAACACAAGTTTGTTTTATTCAGGGACGAACGTGCATGAGGTCCAGGGGGCCCGTGGGCCCCCTCAATTTTTTTAAAAATCATTATATATATAACTAAAAAATACTATAAATTATGAATAAAAATAAAAAAAACATGTAGAATATATAAATAATTAAAACATATTTTCAATGCAATTTAATTTAAAGTTATAATATTATTTATTTGTTGAAAAGTATATCAATAATCTTTATATTTTATATTTCTACAAAATAAATATATTAATAATTTACTCTTTCGGCCTCTTAATTGTAAATCAATTCAATGATTTATAAAACCTAGAATTTAGTTGGATGTAATCACATATTTTCAACTTTATTTATTTTCTATTAATAAAATGGTCATTTGATAAGTTGTCATCAACAAAAAATGCTATGCAATGTATTGCAAAAGTTCAATGTAAATCATATTTTGAACAAAAAGACTTATTTTCTTCATAAATTATAGATCTTAAATTTAAATTATAAGTACACAAAATCTTAATTTTTTTTCTTTAAAAGAAAAGTTTGAGGGTGATACAGATTCTAAGTATTTAAAAACTTGATGTTACATATATCAATATCTATATTTATAAGTAAACACAACCTTATGTAAAATGAACGTTTTAACGTAAACTACAAACTCGTTATTTAACATTTAAAATTGAGTCCCCTGAGTGAAAATCCTAGCTCCATCATTGGTTTCATATTCTCATCACTTCTTGCTCTCTACTATTTTAATTAAAAAGTGATCCTCGTGCTATGGTGTATATGGTGGAAATACAGTAGGACATAACCTTGATTATAAATTCCTTAATGTGGTTAAATTTATGTGTCCTTATGTCATATGGAGGGCAGAGCGGATACAAATGGGAGTCATTTAATGAGGTTTTTGTTGTCATTCAAATTTGTTTGGTAACTGTGTTTAATTGCATGAATCATAAGTCATAACAACATACACGTTTTTTTTACTATAAGCATGACTTTCTTGATAGCATAATTGTCTAGACCTTTTATTGTTAAGATGTGAGTGGTCCTCATGCTATAAGTTTAAATAAATAGTGGTTAGGAAAATTTTCTTGTCAAAGTACCTCTGGAAAATAGACTTGATCATGCAACTCTACCAAGTACCAAGTTGTTGAAAAATAGCTTCCGTTTTGGTCAACTCTACCAATTACGATGGGTAGCATGTATTAGGGCTGATAATTAAACCGAATTATTAAATACCATACCTACCTGATAACTGAATTTTGGGCTGTATTTTACCGATTTCAAGATTTACCGAAAATCCCAAATAAATAAATAAATGAAATAATATATACAAGCAAAAATTAAAAATAAAAATTATCGCTAGCAGCGAAAATTTGTAGCGTATGGCAAGGGAAGGAAACCAACAATTAACAGCAAAACAAAATTTTTGACTGGGGCCTTAAACAAAATTAGGAAAAGAAAATAAAAAGAACAGAGAAAAAGTGAAACAACAATTAAAAAGAGCGACGTCAGAAGAAAGAAGCAGCAACTTGGGGAGGGAGAGAGACTGAGAGAGAGAGAGAGAGAGAAGGATATGGTGGGATGTGAAATTTTGAAACATGTAGGTCGATCTGAATTTTTGTCATCTCAAAAATTGAGATTGCTGGTCGATATTTTTGAAAAAAATAAAATAAAATTTTGGTTTGGTTTGGTTCTCCTCAGTGTTACAGAACACTAGAAAGTACAAAACTGAAGTCAATCTGAAACTTACTTGGTAACCGGTTTGTGGTTATCATTATATAGTCAGCCGGTCCGGTTTACCTTTTTCTTACATGATTTCGATGCAGTTGATTCGGTATTTTAGATAAAATTTGCCAGCCTAGATTACTTAAGTATAGTGGGATTTGCATTACATGAGAATATGTTACAGTTTATAATAAACCGTTGTTTGGCTCAAATCTATCATTATATAAAAAGAATAACTTTTTTATAAATTTAGAAACTTTTTCCCGCCAAAACCATTAAATATATCTTATATATAGTAATTGTTGAACAAATTTGAATAGGCAAAAAAAATCGGTTCATTAATTGTGTAAAGATTTGTTTCTCTTTTTCCTGTTTTTTAGTTTATCAAAACCGTTGTTTGACAATAAATATTTGTTTTCTTTTTCCTATTTTTAGTATAAATCTACACGAGCTTATCTCTTCTGTTAGAAAATTTCATTACATACGTCTCACGTGTTTAAAAAATCTCATCCCTTATCTATACAGATTTGAAAAAATAAAATAAAAATCAATTCATAATTACTACTAGAAATCCATAATCTTTAAAAGAAAAAATAAAATAAAATAGAAACCAATTCATAATTACTACTATAAATCCATTATCTACTTTAAGAAGTTAATTTTCATCGGTCTAATTACTAATATTTTTACAAATATTATAAGCTAACCATACAAAAAAGTAATAATAATTTTGAAATGGTGTGTAATCAATTTTTTTTATTCTCTTATACAAAATAATTTTACATTGTTTGACCCCGAATATTTAATTTATAATTATTAAATATTGTTTATCCTCTTCTTTAATTTATAATTATTTTTTTTTCTTCCTCTTTTTAAATAGGATCAATAGTAGTTTCTACTTCCGTCATTGAGTGACTCAAACTCGATATCTATTTATAATATTGTTAGTTTAATATTATTCCCGTGCATCGCACGGGGTATACACTAGTATGGTTTAATGCACCAAGCCGCTCCTGTATTATACGAAATGTACGCGTTTTTTCTGGTATTTTAAAATTGCGTCAGACCCATTTGTATTTAACTATCAGCTGCACACGCTCCTTTTTTCCCATTTTTTATTTAATGGCGTTAGTTTTTTTTCAAAAACCTGTTATACCCTCTGAATATTATATATATATTTATGATAAATTAAATTTATTGCGATATATTGAATCGCGCCCGTTATACCCTCTGAATATTATATATATATTTATGATAAATTGAATTTATTGCGATATATTGAATCGCGAGAAATTAAATAAAAAAAATCTGTTGACTCCAAGGTTTGAACTTGAGACCTCTTAGAGGCAAGACAAGAGGTGCAACCACCACACCACTCAATGTTGAGTGTTAGATATAGTAAATATGTCGCATTACATATAGATAAATGACATTAAATTTAGAAGATAATGTAAATTATATTAAATTAAATTATTAAAATATAAACTTGTAATAAATTAAAATATTAAATTAATTTTAAGATATAAACTTATAATAAATTAAAATATAATAAATTAAACTATATAAAATTAAATGAAAAAAAATAATTAAAATACCTTACTATATTAGACAAACACAAAATAATTAAAAAAAATTATAATTAAAATTATAAAATTACAATTATATTTGTAATAATATTTATTGTATGTATTTTATATTATTTTTAATTTTTTATTATTTATTTTAATTTATATTATTCCATCCATATTATTTTGTTGCATTATTCATTTTATTTTATCTTAGTTAAGAAGCTTTATTTATTTTGTTTAACTTAAGACAATGAAATAAAATTAAAATAAATTTTACTAAATAAAATTTAGAAATTAAAATTATTTATTTACTATTAAAATTATTTACTAAAAAATTATAATTTATTTCAATTTTTTTTTTCATTCTTATTGTATGTAAGAGTAAATCATATTAAAATTATTTGACAAATAATATTTTTTATTATATTATATTATATTAATTTCAGTTCTTTATTTATTTAATTTATTATTTCATAATAAGATATTTGATCTATTATTTATTTTACTTTATAATTTTTATACTTTATTATTGTATATAATTATTATTTTTATTTTTCTTTAATTAGTTTATTTTACTTTTATTTATTTATTTATTTCATTTTTTTATTTATTTTTCTCATTTAAAATTTATTTAATTATAAATTTATTTAATTTTAGTTCACGCTACTACATTAAATTTTATCTTACTTTATTTTAATTTAATTTTTTTCATTATTTTAAGTTAATTTAATTTATTGGAAGTTATTAGTATTATTATTATTAATTATTTAATTTATAGTAAATTGACATATTATCCTTTTATTTTTTTATTTACTTAGTTTTAAACTATTTAATTCATTTCAGTATGATGTATAGATATATTTATGTTCAATAGATTATACATCCATTCATATGGTCCAGTGGTTGAGCGGCCATTCCCTTCCTTTTCAACCCAAGTTCAAATCTTGTTGCTCATATATAATTCAAGGGTAAAACAGTAATTTCTGCCACTTTGAGATGAAAAAATAAAGAGAAAGCCGCACAGCACGCGCGTGCACACCATTTCCGTCATCTTAGACGGTTTAGGGTGCTTTGATGCAAAACTACATTACAATGGGGTCTGGCTCAATTTTTAAAATAAAGGAGGAAAACGCACAGATTTTATATAATACATGGGGATTTGGTACATTAACCCTCTCATATTTACAGGAGCGACCATTATCCGATAGTGTAGAGGCGTTTAATAGATTTTTTCCAATATATATTTCAAAAAATTAAGTCGGTTATTTTCATTACGATCTTTAATATTTGAGTGATCTCGTTTTTTTATAGTCAACTCTTTTTGTCATAAATAATCCATATATTGAATATTCATAGTTCAATCACATTATTATTTTTATTTTTTTTTATCTACTCTCTGGTACCAAATTCGATTTAAAAAATCTTTCAATAATTAAGATACTCAAAACTTAAATTATCTAACATATAATGATGTTGAATAAAAAAAAAAATGTTAAAGTACCAATATATTATGTGTTGCGATCATATAGCTGCGTGAACTCTTCGGAAAATTTGTTTCCAATCTTACTATTCATCTGTCTATAACTCAATCACCTACCTAATTTTATTAATTGCTATTTTTGTCATAAAATTATGAACATTTGAAGTAAACCAATCCTAACAGCTTAGACTAGCTATTTTTATCATAAAATTATGAACATTTGAATTAAACCAATCCTAACAGCCTAGACTATCTATATAATAAAACAACCCTGCACTTTAAAACCTATAATGGGGATGACAAAGCCCCTTCTTTCTGCTGACTTTGGTTATTAAACATACACATACATACACACACACACATACATACACACATACATACATGTGTATTATACATATATATATATATATGTGAGGCATAACTAGGCCTACACACTCTGAATCATGTGATATTTGACCTATACAGCACCCAAAGTTTCTGAACTTTCATTTTCGTATATAAGGATGGATGATCTTTAAGTCACTTTTTATGTGGTTAATCTTACTATAGTATGGACTATGTTCTTGATATGTCT